GCGGTTAGAGCATCGGCCTGCAGTCCCAAAAGACCTGGGTTCGGTTCCCGCTAAGGGCACGTACCTTTGTTGCAGTTTATTCCCAGCCTTGGTTGGTCGTGTGGGTTGCAGTCACTCGATGTGTCTCTTTCACGTCAATGTTTCTCTCTCTCTCTCTTCCTCTCTCTCCCTCCCACTCTATCTGAACAAAAAATGGAAAAATGTCCTCGGGTGAGGATGAAAACAAAAAAAGAACTGCTGAGGATAACTACTTATTTTCTTGAATGGACACCACAGCATAAATTCCTACTCAGCAGTTGAATACTCAATTAGTTCACCAGTTGTTAGAAAGATCTTATGGTAAAAACTCTAGATGGATACTGACACAACAGCTCATAAATATGCATGAGAATCTCAAACAAAGTTTGTTTGAAAGCAGACTCCTATTGGTTAACAGCTCTGGACATCCATCGTAAGTCAAGGGAGTCCACTAACTTAGAAAAAAAGAAGTATGTCTTACCTTAAACAAATGTATGAATATTTTGAATTTTTCTTTTAATATTTTAAATTCTCAACTAGAAAGTAAACTTCTTAGGAATATAGATATGAGTTTCACCTATACAGGGTCTACTATAACATTCACAGTGCCTTAAAAATAATAGTAATTTTTATTAATAATAATAATTAATTCAATATATTCAGTAACTTATTTTACATCACTTGGCTTGCCCAAAATTAGTACCATCAATTTTATTTTTTTTTATCCTCACCTGAGGACATTTTTCCATTTTTTGTTCAGACAGAGTGAGAAGGAGAGAAAGGGAGGGAGAGAGGGAGGGAGGGAGGGAGAGAGAGAGAGAGAAACATCGACGTGAAAGGGACACACTGAGTGGCTGCCACCTGCACGACCAACCTGGGCCGGGGACAAACCACAACCAAGGTACATGCCCTTAACGGGAACCGAACCCAGGTCTCTCCGGACCACAGGCCAACACTCTAACCACTGAGCCAAACCAGCCAGGGCATCCATCAATTTTAAAGCTCAAAATTTACTACTATATTACAGGCCTAGAACCATAAGCAAATTATTTATATCTTAATTTACTTTGGATTTATCCTCCTAAAGAATCTGGTAAGACTTTTCAGACACCTTACCCAATGAAATGCTTTCTGAATTTCATTAAAAATTGTTTGGTAAAAGCCTTTAAAACAATGGTATGGCCCTGGCCGGTCTGGCTCAGCAGTTGGCGCGTTGGCCGGTGGACCCTCAGAGAGTCCCAGGTTCAGTTCCTACTAAGGGCACGTACCTCGGTTGCAGTTTGTCCCAGCCCCGTTTGGGGTTGTGTGGGTGGCGACCAGTCGATGTGTCTCTCTCACATCAATGTTTCTCTCCCTCTCTTCCTCCCTCTCTCCCTCCTGCTCTATCTGAAGATAAATGCAAAAATGTCCTCGGGTGAGGATAAAGAAACAACAATGGCCCTGGCTGGTTTGGCTCAGCGGTTAGAGCGTCGGCCTGCGGTCTGGAGAGACCCGGGTTCGGTTCCCGCTAAGGGCACGTACTTCGGTTGCAGTTTGTCCCCGGCCCTGGTTGGTCGTGCGGGTGGCAGCCATTCGATGTGTCCCTTCATGTCGATGTTTCTCTCTCTCTCTCTCCCTTCCTCTCTCTCCCTCCCACTCTATCTGTACAAAAAATGGAAAAATATCCTCGGGTGAGGAAAAAAAAAAAAAAAAGAAACAACAATGGTATGTCTTCAAAGTTGTCAGTGTTAAGCCTTCATGACCCAGTTCTGATTTGCTCAAATAGAATGTATCCTGAATTACAAAGTATATAGAGTCTGTCTATTAAAACTGCTTATAGTCACCTAGAAATTCTCTAGATTGTAAGTAATAAAAACCCCCAAATTAAATCTAGAGAGAATATAAAAATTTTATTTAGGTATCTGAATGATTTCCATTTCTTCTTTGTTTTTGTTTTTTTTTTTCATCCTCACTCGAGGACATTTTTCTATTTTTTGTTCAGATAGAGCGGGAGGGAGAGAGAGGAAGAGAGAGAGAGAGAGAAACATCGAAGTGAAGGGACACATCGAGTGGCTACCACCCGCACGACCAACCAGGGCCGGGGACAAACTGCAACCGAGATACGTGCCCTTAGCGGGAACCGAACCCGGGTCTCTCTGTACCACAGGCCGACGCTCTAACCGCTGACCCAAACCAGCCAGGGCTGTTTTTTGTTTTTTTAAATCCTCACCTGAGGATAGTTTTCCATTTATTTCCAGACAGAGTGGGAGGAGAAAGAGAGAAAGAGAGGGAGGGAGGGAGAGAGACACACACACACAATCAACGTGAGAGAGACACATCGACTGGTTGCCTCCCACATGACCCTGGCCAGGGCCAGAGACCTAATCACAACCAAGGCATGCCCTTGACCGAAATCAAATCCGTGACTCTTCGGTCCAAGGGCCGATGTTCTAATCACTGAGCCAAATCATCCAGGGCTCTATTTCTTCTTTATAGGTCTCTTATTAGTGATACTTGGTAGTAAGAAAAATCGATGAATTTGATTCTCACTTTTCTTTAGAAGCATAAGAGATATCAAACTTGATCTACTAAGATGAAATTTTTTGTATAGTATATAAAATGTTAGATTGGCATTCTTCATAAATATCACCACCTGTCATTAAGTTATACCTGCTTATACCTCTCATTTTCATCTCATAGATAAATGCCTAGCATTATTTAGGTCCTTATTATAACTGTGAATAAAGAACTAATCTTTGGAGTAGAAACCACAGGAGAATTTAGTAGCCCAAAATTAATGTCACCAAATTCTGGAGAGTGGTTACCTCTGAGAACAAAGACTCAAAATGTCATCATAAGGGAATGTGGACACAGAGAAAGATGTAGGACATATCTCTGTTTCAAATTTCATTTCTAAAGCTGGGTAGAGGCCCTAGAGGGTCCTTTACATTTTTCTCTACACCTTTTTCTATTTATAAAAAATTATATATATATAATAATTGTGTATGTAGAGATATATATATTGTTAATCCTCACCTGAGGATATTTTTCCATTGATTCTTAGATAGAGTGAAAGAGAGGGAGGGAGGGAAAGAGAGAGAATCATTGATGTGAGAGAGAGACATCAATTGGTTACCAGGGCCAGGGATCGAACCTGCAACCAAGGTACGTGCCATTGACCGGGAATCAAACCTGGACCGACACTCTAACCACTGAGCCAAACTGGCCAGGGCTTATATATTTTTAAAAGTAAGTTAGTGAATTGATATGGATCCAGAGCTGGGGATCAAAGAAGGTAAAGTGAGACAAGTCCTGCCTTCAGTTAAAAATCTATTGCTGCCCTAGCGGTTTGGCTCAGCAGTTAGAGCACTGGCCTGTAGTCCAGAGAGACCCAGGTTCAGTTCCCGCTAAGGGCACGTACCTCGGTTACAGTTTGTCCCCAGCCCTGGTTGGGTCATGTGGGAGGCAGCCACTCGATGTGTCCCTTTCACATCGATGTTTCCCTCTCTCTCTCTCTTTTTTCTCTCTCTCTCTTTCTCTCTCTCTCTTCCTCTCTCTCCCTCCTACTCTATCTGAACAAAAAATGAAAAAATGTCCTCAGATGAGGGAAAAAAATGTTAAATATCTATTTGCTAAATGACTTACTTTACAATCCATGTGCCTCAGATTCAGTAAAACATGAAATATACTTTATAGGAATTTCATCTGGCAAGTTCTCAGGAGAAAACATACCTTTAGAAACTAAATCATTAAATCATGAGACATTTGGAAGTGTTACCTGTGTTCCCACATTTTTATATCTTTCTTTAAAGTCACCAACATTTTTCATTTTGGAAGGAAAAAAAACAGCCTAGGACTGACAATGTTTTCTACTGCTTCCTAAGTCAAAGAAAAGGTATACATCTTTTTAAGAAACAGATTAATGTCAAAAAAATGATTCACATAGTCTCTTTACTTTACTTATATTTAACAATCCTTTAATGAACATACATTTAAAACTATTTTTCCATCTTCATCTTATACAAAACCCCAGAAGTTTGGAAAAATGAGTCTTTAGTAACAATGGACTTCCACTTCCCTTAAAAGCTTTGAAACTGAGCTACATTTACAATTATCAGTCTGATCTCTAGTTTTCTCTGAGATAGTACCACTTCAAATGTAAAGCACTGACTTCAGAAAAATTTATACCAAAGGGTTGCCTCATGAGAAATGGAAACACCACCAAAATGGAAAAAACTTGAGATTTATTTTAAAATTGTATAACTAAGTTTAAAAATTAAGTCAGTTCTTTAAAACGGTCCTATTGCCCTGGACAGTTTGGTTCAGCAGTTTGAGTGTCGGCCCGCAGACCAGAGTCGAGGGTTCGATTGCAGTCAAGGGCACATACCTCAGTTGTGGTTCATCCCTGGCCCTGGTGGGGGTTGTGCGGGCAGCCAATTGATGTGTCTCTCTCACATTGATGTTTTCCCCTCTCTCTCTCTCTCTCTCTCTCTCTCTCTCTCTCTCTCTCTCTCCCTCTCTCTCCCTCCCTCTCTCCTTCCCACTCTGTCTGAAGATAAATGGAAAAATATCCTCAGGTGAGGATTAAAAATAAGATTAAAATGGTCCTGTTTGTGGAAGTCAACAGTTCTAGTTCTACCCTACATATATCTATCCATTGCCCAAGCCCTGCAAAATACTAGTAAAACACCACTGAATTCTAAATACAAGTTTCTGTAGCACTTACTTATCTTCTGCAAAGGCAAGAAATTAACAGATGGTTTCCTAGCAATGTTATATAAAAAGAAACTCCAAAGGAACCGAGTAAAACAAAACTGTGTGGTAGATTAATACAACTAAGTGAAAAATAACTAATATTTTTCATTTACTCTTCACAAAGTTATAAATGTTCCAAAATTATAAACATCAAAATCCTTATATTCAAATCCCTATAAAATATTCAACTTCACCTGTAGATCTGCCTTGTCTGTCAAGATTTTATTTCTTCGCCTTTTATTACTCACCAATTGCATCTGGATTTACCGGTCTGGAGACATCAGCTTGCCCCATGATTATATTGTCTGATGTATCTCACGACAACAAACTGTCCCGGACCAAAGCGAATTTTTCTTAAAAGATAAATCCACATAAGGAGGGAACGTGCACTCCTCTCTCAGTGTCACTGCCAAACATCAGGAAATGGCATGAGGTCAATCTGCCGGAGTTTCTCTTTCCCTCTATCCCGGCCTGGGCACTTGAGGTTCTTATAAATACGTCTTCACGCTGGCTCTCTTCACACAGGAATGCCTGTCATTCCAGGGTGCACACTGTGAAGAGCAGAAGTGCAGGAAGGGGAGGAGACTGCCAACCACATTCTAGCTTCTGAGCGGCACAGCCCTAAAAGTCCACACCTACTTTTCCTGATATTGAGCTTGGTTCCTGCTCTCCAGACTTTCGACACAGAAGAAAGGAAGCTTGCTCAAGAGTCTCCCAAAGAAGAACTTGTAAATTTAATCACACACCAAAAAATCACGGTTATGTGTAGCAGGCTAATGGGAGCAGACATCCATTTAAAGGTATGTTTTAGATACAGGCTTGCCTTAAAAGTATCAGACTGTTCTCACATTTCCCTGCTTGCTCTAAAATGGTATTTCCTACCTCTGAGTGGCATATCTAAAGCAGGATAAGATCTACATACTGGAAATTAATAATATTAGGAACATTATTTTAAGATTGAGTATACCTTTTCTAAAAATAAAAAGAAATAGTTCTCAAAATTTTGCTTACTAAGATAGTAAACTTGAAATAAATATTTGGAAGGTATTATATAATATTTCTCTTTTTGCTAAAGCTCAGTAACTATATTTGATCTTGGGGAATACAAAGGAGTAGTCCCATGTGTTGGATATAATACATGAAAATATCAGCTAACCACATGCAGTAACCTAAAGTCCAGCTTGCATGCTGATTTTTCATTTTCATTGCGATATAACTAATTTACATATAGGCAAATACATCTACATTAAGAATACAGCTTGACGAATTTTTATTTACATACATGCCTGTACATGAGAACACTAAATATTCTAAATGTAAAAAAGGCACACATAACACAAACTTACCAGTGTTTGGCCACATACTCTGGATTATTTCACAAACACTTGAAGGTAAATGGGGAACTAACAATTTGAGCATTATATTAAGGAGTTTTACATTGGTTATTTCATATATTTATCACCACAAATAACCATGTGTTTGAAGAATATATTATTTATCCTATTATCAAATAAAAAAACTAAAGCTAGTGAGGTCAAATCCCAGGTCTTATGTCATGGAGTTTTTAAGTTCAGCCTGGCAGGTGTGGCTCAGTGGTTGAGTGTCGACCCATGCACCAACAGGTCGCTGGTTTGATTCCCAGTCAGAGCATGTGCCCAGGTTGTGGGCCAAATCCCCAGTGGGGAGCACGTAGGAGGTAGCCAACTGATGCTCTCTGTCATCGATGTTTCTATCTTTCCCTCTCCCTTCCTCTCTCTTTCTAAAATCAATAAAGAAAAAAAAAATGCTTTTAACCAAGATTTGTTTAAGAAGAAAAAATTAAAACAAAACAAAAAAACAAATGACAGCTACCCAAAACACAGAGCTTTTAGTTTAAACCTTTGTTCTCCAAACTGAGATCACAGAAAGATTTCTAGTATCTGGACGTTTCTTTTGCCTTTCCTTAGCACTTTCTCCTTTGCCTCTTTATCATATCCACACTTTCTGCTTTAATACAGAAGAAAGAAAAAAAAAAGCAAAAGTAACAAGTAGAAAAATGACAATGCTAAGGCATCAGTAAGAAAAAAAAAGTGTAGAAATACTTAGACAACATTTAATTGTTAATACTATTAGTAGTCAGGAAAATATTATAATATTGACCATTAAAATAGGAAAGAGCGTACAAATAAAAATACATTGAAAGAATACTCCAATGTAAGAATGTCCAATACCTTCAAACCCTGGCACTTATATATATTAGCCTAAAAATGGAACATATGCAAGAGCAGTCCTCTGTAAAATGGGGATGGCCAAAGGTGGCAAATGCATTGCCCAGCACCCCATAGGTACTCAACATATTATATTCATATCATCATCACCACCGCCATCATGAAGATAATACAGCATATTGCTTAAGCCTCTTAAGTTAAGAGGATAAGCTTTGGAGGCAAACTAATTTTAATTTCAGATCTATCACTCAAGTGGTAACACTAGGCAAGCTACTTTACCTCTCTGAGTTTCGGTTTTCTAATTTGTAACATAAGCAATACAATACTGAATAGTACAGGGCAGTTGTGGGGATGAAATGACATGAACATAAAATAAACCCTTTGCAATGTGCCTGGCACATAAAAAGCTCTCAATAAATGCAATAAATAATTATCACAGTTCTTACAGCTAAAAAAAAACAAGTCAAGAAAGGAGAGGCCAGGTCAAGAGCAGCAGGATAATGGTACATGACAAAAAACTTAGTCATTACAAACAAGTTAGTCAGAAACGGAAGATGACATCTCTGTATCATGAATCCAAAGACGAAATGGAATACACAGGCCAAGGAGGAAGTGTGAACACAATCAGGGCTGGTGTAAAGAAACATCAAACAGATAGAACACTCCAGACAAAAGTATTACTATCAGTAAGTTTAAATCAGGCACATTACACACACACACACACACACACACACACACACACACCCCACCCCACCCCACCCCACCCCCGAAACAGCACTGTAAAATCTGTGTTGACAAGACCATACAAGAGTAGAACAGACAGATTTATGGATCCTGCTATAGCTACTGTTTACCACTTGCCAAATTTAAATGTCTATCTTGGCTTGGCTCAAGGCTGATTTTAGGTTACTGTGAAAGTAGCAATAAAACTTAAAGACAAAAGAATGACTGCCCTGGCCAGTTTGGCTCAGCAGTTAGGTTAGAGCATTGGTCTGCAGACCAGAGAGGCCCGGGTTCGGTTCCCACTAGGGGCATGCACCTCGGTTGCAGTTTGGCCCGGGCCCTGGTTGGGATCGTGTGGGTGGCAACCACTTGATGTCTCTCTTGCACATCAATATTTCTCTCTCTCTGTTTCCCCCTCTCTCCCTCCCGCTCTATCTGAAGATAAATGAAAAAAAAAAAAAAAAAAAAGTCCTCGGGTGAAGATTAAAAAAAAAGAATGATAGCCCTGGCCGGTTTGGCTCAGCGGTTAAAGCGTCGGCCTGCGGTACAGAGAGACCGGGTTCGGTTCCCGCTAAGGGCACGTACCTCGGTTGCAGTTTGTCCCCGGCCCTGGTTGGTCGTGCGGGTGGCAACCACTCGATGTGTCCCTTCACATCGATGTTTCTCTCTCTCTCTCTTCCTCTCTCTCCCTCCCGCTCTGTCTGAACAAAAAATGCAAAAATATTCTCGGGTGAGGATTTAAAAAAAAAAAAAAAGAATGATAAGAGTCTTAGTGATCATTTGGCTCAATTTCCTGCTCCTTACAGAAAAAGAAAACTGATGGTCAATCTAAGTCTCTTAATTCTAACTCCAGGACTCACTTTAGCTCTTATATAAATGGTCAAGGAAGCACTTACTTCCTAAAGATATATTCATTTCCCAAGAAAGTCCATATTCTACAACAAGAAATCTCTCAAAAATGCTAATTCTGTTGACTGTGTATCAAGCCAATAAATGTTCCTTGACCAACAATATTTATAACTGGAAAAAGCAGACAAGTGGAGAGAGAGAAAGATAATGGCCAATTAATGGCTTTAAAATTCAACAATCAAAGCCTTGAATTCATTCTAGTTTTCCATGCATTATATTTTAGGAATGCAAAGAGAAGTCTCACTTTAATTTTCTAAGAAATACACAACTATACTTAATTGTCACCTAGTAAAAGATACTCTCTTTTTAGAGTAAGTTTCCTCCATAGCAGTGGTTCTCAACCTTCTTAATGCCGTGACCCTTTAATACAGTTCCTCATGTTGTGGTGAACCACAACCATAAAATTATTTTCGTTGCTACTTCATAACTGTAATTTTGTTACTGTTATGAATTGCCATCAGAAATATGTTTTCAGATGGTCTTAGGCGACCCCCGTGAAAGGGTCGTTTGACCCCCAAAGGGGTCGTGACCCACAGGTTGAGAACTGCTGCTACAGCTTACTGCCTCAAGGAATTGGGGAGGTGACAGATAAAGGTTTATTAATCTCTTCCTATTTTATTTAGGGAAAGAGCAAGCAATCCTTATAAAATAAAGGTTAACAGGTAAAGGAATCTAAGCTATAGTTCAGATTTAGACAATACGGGAAGCCTTCTAACCAGAGCCTCATTGTTTGTAAATACTGCATATATCCTATGAAGAGCTGAGCACCCAGAACCTTTAATGACATTTACATCTCCAAAACTTTCTGTTGGCAAGCACGTCGTACCATACAGTAACATGAAAACACGCTTTATATTTTCAGTAAACACTTTCAAGATCAATCAGGAGAGTTTAACACTTTCCTTTAAATGTGCTTTACGCGCCCTGGCCGGTTTGGCTCAGCGGTTAGAGCGTCGGCCTGCGGTCCGGAGAGACCCGGGTTCGGTTCCCGCTAAGGGCATGTACCTTGGTTGCAGTTTGTCCCCGGCCCTGGTTGGTTGTGCGGGTGGCAGCCACTCGATGTGTCCCTTTCACATCGATGTTTCTCTCTCTCTCTCTCTTCCTCTCTCTCCCTCCCACTCTATCTGTACAAGGGGTGGAAAAGTGTCCTCGGGTGAGGATTAAAGAAAAATAAAAAATAAAAAAAAATAAATGTGCTTTATGCTAAAGTACCAATATAAAGTGGATTACCTAGAAGAGTAAGCTTTTAGCTATTTTAATCACATCTCCCTCAGCTTAATTCAGCATACTGCTTTTGTATGGCCTGAGATGTCTCAAGGAGGTGTGTTCTAGTGGGAGGTTAGGAAAAAGTGATTTTCCTCTAGGAAAGGCTGACCAACAGAAGTTAATAGGTCACACAAATACATAAGTAAAAGACTAATTTTCAACTTCTGGATTTATAATTGGAGGAAGGAGCAGTTTCCTATTCTGTACCCCATACTCTAATTCTAATCTAGCTGGCTCTGGATAGTTATAGGAGATATTCTATAACCAATAACTTGTGTCTAAAAATCCATGTGGATATTAGAAAGCCTTGCTAGTCACTTGTAAACTCTTCACGGTCTCATCTATTTGTACAAAGGTTCCCTTGGCCTGAAATTTCTTTCCCAGATCCATCTAGGAAACTCCTAAGCATCCTTTAAGAGAACTAGCTCAGATGTTGCTTCCAGTAT